TCGATTCGATTTGAAAAAATCAAATCAAATTCAAATTGCTTAAATATTTGATTTGATTCGATTTTGAGGAACCCTACCAATTAGGACATCTAATAAATTTTTCCTTTAGGTAAACAGTGTTGCCAACTTCAAAGTCATTTATTTTATGATTTATTGTTTCGTCTATAGGGGTAAAGCCTTTATCTGTAAGTAGGTAACCTTAGTAAGATCCATTTCAGACATTTTCATGACACTGGTAATTTCTTTGATAATAAATCTTGAGCAACCCTTTCCCTAGAATCATATATATATAATAAAATGTCTCAAGTTTTGAAGGCATTTTTCAAATCGAGAAAGTAAAAGGTAAGGGTGCAGACATATCAATACTATAGGGTTATAACTTTTGCCTATAAAATTGTATGGCAATATGGCATTGTCATATGCTGTAACTAGTGTCATTTACCATAACTGTCGTAACTATGTATATATTGTAATTAGTATCATTTGCCATAACTATGTATATGCCATAACTATAATTAGCCTTGTAAAATCACAGGTAAATTCTATAAAGTTCGTCTAACAGTAAGCATGTAGATTAGTATAAAAAGATCGATAGTTAAATTTTACAAAATATAGTTCAAATATAAAATGTAGATTTTTTTAAATTCACGTTTTTTATTTAATGTGTTTTTCATTTGTCGTATTCAAATTAACTATGGAAGAAAATAGAAAACACATTAATAATACTGAAAATACATTGTTTGACATTAAAAATAACCTTTTTAAACGATAAAAAACAACAAAAAGGGTGGTTTTAAAAGGAATGAAGTATGGAATATTTTATAGTAGGTGATGAAAAAGATGATGGATACTACTCTGTAACTTATTATTATTGTAAAAAAAATGGCAAAGAGAAAAACCGGGAATTAAAGATGGGAACTGTAATTAATATGTTGCAACTTTTAATGTTGCAACTTACGTTGCAATTAGTTTTAACCTATATATGTTGCAACTAATTTTAGCTTATGTTGCAATATTTTGTAAATTTGAAATCAATTGCTGTACCATCTTTACCGGGAATCTTAAAAGCTCACCTTTCTAATGAATGTTTACAATGTCCTGAAGATATTTGCAAATATTACAGGATGTACTTTCTTCTGAATTAACAAATTATACTCGTAAACAAAAAACTACAATTAATCTATCATTAAACAACACCAAATAACTCAACACTTTAGCTCAGATAAACCTTTACCACTAGCTATAACTGAATAGATTAACCAATCATTATTGAAAGCATGATAATGACAGGAAATTCTTTTGAAATAATTGACAACCCTTTTATTCGTGATCTATTTCAAGAGCTTAATCCAAGATATACTCCTTTATTAAGAACAACACTATCTGATCGATTGTTGGATCAAGAAGTTACTCGGTTTCTCAAAATATTGAAAAAGAATTAGAAATCTCAGACCATCTAATATTAAGTAAGAATCTGAGTTTTAATATTAAAAAAAGATTGTATTTATTTATTGTATATTATTATGTAACTATTATATATAATTTTATCTTTTATTAATAAACTATTTAATAAATTTATATTTAATTGATAATAATATCTTAATTAATTTTAATTGACTATTATATTATTTTATTAGCATTAAATAGGTGAACATCAAAAAAAAATAATTCATTGTATAATTATATTGTATCAACACCTGTACAAAAAGAATATTTGATTACATTAAGAGATTATTCAGCTGAATCTCATACTGGTTCAATGCTTGCTAATGAAATTTCGGATATTATAGAAAAAGTTAGTTCAGAAAAGTTTGCAGCTATAGTTACTGATACTATATCAGCATGTGTATAACACAAAAAAAAACAGAGAAAATATATCCTCATATTTGGGATATTAGATGCTCTGCATATGCTATTAATTTGATAGCAGCAGATCTTGTAAACCTGGATGAAATAAAAAAATTTATAGCAGATTGTAATAAAATTACAAAATTTTTTTATATATTCCACCAGGCTTGTTTTATTTTACGATAAAATCTGAAGGATTACATACATGGGTAAAAACTAGATGGAATCATTATTTATAACAACAGATTCTATTTTACGCGTATGTTCTGTTTTGATTGGATAAGTGTATATTTATAATTGATATTAATATTATTTAAATTTTTAATTAATAACTAATAATAATTATTAATATTTAGATCATTCTTAAACATCAAAGTATTATTTCAAATACAGATGTGTGTGATTTATTGGAAGATAAAGAGTTTTTTATTACATATCGGCATATTCATTCAATTTGGACTCCTATTAAATCTTAGCTGATTGCTTTATTCACATGATTAAGTTAGCAATAGCAATATACCGGTTACCTAATCTAAATCCATTTAAAATTTCAGCAATATATATATTTAATAATCGTTATCTTGAATTTCAGCATCCAGCATATTTACTCTGTTATTTTATACATCCGCAATATTGAGATTTATATAATTTACATTTTTTTTTAATTATTTAATTAAATTTTATTATTAATATCAATTTATATAGGTTGTGGATTACGTAATGGAGGATTTAGAGATATTGCTTTAATTGCAATAAAATTATAGCAAAGTATTGATCACGATAAGCATGAAAGTTATGAATTAATTTCTCAATTACGCCGATTTGAAGCTTGTTTGGCATCTTATGATTTATCTTATATTGAAAATATGGAGTTCTATTAAAATAATTCTTCCCATTTGGCTGAACTTACACTTCGATTATTTGGAATAATTCCTTCTCAATTTAGTTATGAGCGGAATTTTTCAACACTTAAATGGTTAATTGGTGATTGAAGAACTAGATTGGCAGTATAAAAACTCGAAAATATGACTAAAATTAGATCATATTATTTGACTAATATCAAATCTGAACTTTTATATTACGGTAAGAAGTACAAATGATGAATTAAAAGAAGCAACAAATTATTCATCTGTGGGAACAATAATGGCTTTAGAATCGGATGAGAAAGAATTGGTTGATGATTTTATTACTAATAATTTGAATGTACCTTCTGGAGATACTCTAGTTTTAAAAGATATTATTGATCTTACTTTACCAATTTTTTATATTAACGATAATGAATTACATAGCAAAGAAAAAGATCAAAATAATATTATTTTACCTTCTGATCTAGAATATAATCCAGAAGATTTGGTTAATCTATTTCTTCAAGAAAATCTTTAAATTTCTTAATTTCTAGATATGTAATTTTCTTTAATTTGCTTTGCTTTTTGCTTTTAATAAATTTTTGAAATTATATGTTTATATTGATAATATATATAGTACTGTATATAGCATATGATATAACTAAAGTTATAACTCTAATAAATGTCTGCACCCTTAGTAAAAGGTAAGTGAAATTTTTTTATTTTTTTTGAGAAAAATGTAATTTTACTTTTTTTTTAAAACGAAAAAAAAAGCAAATTTTTTAAAAAAAGAACTTTTCAGGTGGGTTAAAATATAAGTTTTATTTTTCTATCGTAGTAAATAATCTGATTAATTTTTTTTTTTTTTCCATAATATACATCGCGATATCTAATTGTTGATTGAGTCAAAGAATCAAATCAAAAAGAGACAATCGCAAAAAAAAAGTTATTTATTGTTAACTTTGCGATTATCTCGTCGATTAATTGATTGTTTCGTTAATTAATTGCATCTAGATAAATATCTAATCACGTTTACCGCAGTATAAATAAAGAGAAAAAAAATAAGAAAATTTTTTTATTTAAAGGACTTGGATGGGAGGGTGGGCGTTACTCGATTAGTTATTACGATTAGAACGAAAGGTTGAGTATCGTTCTTCATGAACGATTAGATAACCTAACTACTTACTCTGAATGTAATATCAGAAGGATATTTTTTCCTAACACAGAGCAGTAGATCGGACCATAAGAGAGTATTTGTTGCGTTTTGATGATCAATGTCGAATCAGCGAATTCGGGAATGACAATTTTATCGTCTTACGATTTTCCCAATTAGGAATAAAACACCCTCAGAAATCTTTACTACGATAAAAAAAAAACGGTCATAGATCACGTGTAAAATTATGACGCAGTAAATTATAAATGGGGTGGTACGTCATTTAGATATTATAATACCGCATAGTAAAAATAATCAATTATAACAAGAAAATGTAAAACTGCCTCTATTACTAAAATAAAGTTCACATTATTAAATATGAGCGCAACAGACTAAAGAGCCCATCAATGTTACTCTCCAATATGATACGGATAAGTTACAATACCGGCGACCAAAGGGAGCCCTAAATCTTTATTAGTGTGTTACGAAACATTATTATCATTATTTTAACAAGTTTAAAATACAAAGCATTAACTAATTTTTACACGTTCTTGTGTTGTGTCCTACTTCTTTGCATTTACCACAGATACATTCCTTCTTATTTCCACTAGATGAGATAATTCCATTTGTATTGTCAGTTTTCATTTTGGTTTGGAGAAAATTTTTGAGGGAGAGTATAAGTTCCAAATGATCAAGACCGTCAACACTTTCATTAGAAATATTCTACTGTACAATCAAATTTAGACAATGTTCAACGAAATGAAAACGAAGGAAACGTGAGAAAAAATATTGTTTAAATAATAGTTTATATACAGTATAGTATAAGCTATGTTGTACGATGATTACATCATCGGTGATGGTTTCACATCTGACTACTATAAAGATTTTAGGTTTTGGGAGGATTGTGTAACGATTGCAACTTTTTAATGAAAATTTAGCCACATAAAATTAGCCAACCAACTCATCATGTGGATTTTAAACCTCCCACAATTAGCGAATTATGTTGTTAAAAATAAAAATAAAAAGCCAGCAGAATTTTTTTCTTTTTTTTTCTTTGCAATCGGCATTTAAAAAAATAAAATAAAAAAAATATGAATAAAAATAATGAGAATGTACCATTATTACGAGATGAGCAAGATGGTTCGACAAGTTCGTCAAATGTCAATGATGGATCAAAAGTATATTCTGATAGGCAACAAAGGAAAATGTTCCGAAGACCAAAGAGTTATTCATTTACAAAACAAAAAGGCCATCGAAATTATTCGTCCATACCTTCCGGTTCGGCGGCTGTTGTCGAACAAGATGAAGCTTGGGTAATGAATCAAAAGGAATTCATATCAAAGTCTGGTAAAAAGGCTAGCATGAGAAAAAGGATAGCGTTTCAATGTGACACTTCGACAATTGGAAGAATTTGGGAACTTTCCGATGCCATAATATCCGCAATGTTTGTTCTCTTGTATATCTGGGTTAGTATGTACAAATATAAACTTTTGGGGCGCAGCAATATTATTTATATAATTTATAATTTTAGAATACGCGATATGTCAAGCTTGATAAAAGCGAAGAAGCATTTCCCTACATTCTTCAGACAGCAGACTTTATTCTCGCTGCCATTATATTTGCCCAATATATTCCACGCATTTGGTTAGACAAAGAACCTTTAGCTTTTATTTTTGCAAATTCCTTTTCAATTTTAACATGGGTTTCGGTATTTCCGGTCATTGCGGCATTTTTCTTAACTATCTTTGATGATGTCATGGATAATACTTATATGGGTGCTGGAAATTTGGTATGACATGATAAGTGATAGATAATGTGAAGATTTGCTCAGGTTTCTGCGCCACCATATGTTTAGTTTTGTTTCCTTACGGTTAATTAAAAAATGGTTCTGAAAGGAACTTGGCAAACTTTACTATTCTGAAGTTTCTTTACTTTTGCATTGAGAATGACTAAAATTCCTTTACTCCTTTCAAGATTTATGTATATCCTGTTCGTTTTATAAGACTTCATTGGGCGGTGCAAATGGTTTTCGCGCCTGTAAAAAGCTCACTTTTTAAATGCTCAAAAATTATGAGGAAAGGATTGAGACTTGGTAAATTTTACTATCGTTAACTATATTTAATTAATACTCTTCGCTGTACTCATTTTTTTTTTACTGTGTTTTTACTGTGATTAAATTCTAGTCACAACAATTTTGTTTACTTTTCTCACGCTTACTGCTTTCATTCACCTGGTTACCTTTAAGCAATCGAACAGGCAAGATCCTGATCATCCTAATATAGAGAGTATTTCTTTTAGTGACGCGTTTTACTTTACCGTTCGTATGTAATCCATAAATTCAATATCTGTATTTTAAAAAAAAATTTTTTTTTTGATTTTGATTTTAACCTCTTTTATTTTTATTTTTTATTTTTCTTTATAGTCAGCAGGTAAGCTATCAAAATATAATATGTTGATATAATAATTTTTCTATTTTTTTTTTTTTAAAAAAAAATTTCTCAATTCCTTAAAAGTACAAATGGAATGTCAACAGACTTAGTCCCGGATACCACCTTTACACGTGCTGTTATCTTATATGTCATGATTGCAGGAGCTTTATTCATCCCAACAGCTTTATCGGAACTTCTTACCTTGATACAAGAAAAATCTAAATATGATCATTCATATAAAGGCGAAATATATAACGAGCATATTATCGTTACTGGAGATTTTGACGCAACAAGCTTGTTTGAATTTTTACGAGAATTCTTTTGTCTAGATCATGGTTTAGCTACTATGAATACATATGTTGTGATAATGCATCCGGATGAGGTTTGTCTTGATGGTCAATTATTGGATTCATTAAAATTATATATTATTGTGCATATAACTGTGTTTTTTTTAAAAAAAAAGCCAGATGAAGAGATTGTCGAATTCCTTGAAGATCCGGCATTTATAAGTAGAGTTCAATATATTAAAGGGTAAATAAAAACTGTAATTTTTAAACACATCTTTCTTCGATTTTATTGCGTATATTAAGTTGTTTGTTTTTTTCGATTTAAAAATATTAAGAACACCTACTTGGCGTCGTAGTCTTGAAAAAATTCGTGCTGATACTGCAAGTGCAGCTTTCCTTTTAACTAAAAAATTTTCTGACGAAGCTGATGAGGTGGATGCTTCTCAAATTATGAGAGCCTTGGTAAGTAAATGTATCTATGAGGCAAAACTTGCATGTTGATCTATTTGGTCTATTTAATAATTATAATAAAAAATCAGGCGATTAAAAAATACAATCGGAAATTAGCTCTATATGCTCAAGTTCATTTACCGGAAAATGTTCCTCACTTTGATTTCTTGGGTAATTATTGCAATATATCCTATTCGTGTTATAAATTATAAATTCTAATTTCAATCCTTAATAGCGAAAGATGTCATTTGTATCGATGAAATTACGATGGGATTAATGGCTCAAAGCTTAGTCACGCCAGGATTTGCCTCACTCGTTGTATTACTTACGACATCAATCACTGATAAAGTTGTTCGTAATTTAACAAATGGTGCACGTAAAAAGCCAAGTATGTTTAATTAATTTAATATTAATTGGTTAATATTTATTTATATCAGAAATAAATTTTCTTATAATCTTTAATTGTCGAACGTCATTATTTTAAGATTTAGATTGGGTAAAGGAATACATTCACGGTTTAAGGCATGAAATCTATGCCGTCACCTTTTCTGATGCTTTTGTCGGATACACATTTTTGGAATGTTCTGAACTTATTTATACACGACTTGGTGCCGTATTATTTTCTATCGGGGTTTATAAACTGACAAAGGGTTGCTTTACAAACGCTCAACTTGGAAGCAATACATCACCATTCCAAATATTCTTGAATCCACAGGATTATAAGATTAAAGGGAATGAAATTGGATTTGTAATTAGTGACAATGCAGAAATAACGGCTAAAATGGCAAAATTTAATGAACGATCAAGACATTGGTATGACCCATATGGAAGTGTATCATTTCTCCCGAAATCTGCACATAATATATTAGATAGGGATAGAAATCTTTCATCCAATGTAGATGACTCAAAGTTCAAACTAGATGCTAATAAGAGTATAGAAGACGATGAATATTCCACATCAAAGTCACCAAGAAACAAAATTCCTAAATCTTTGCGTCGTACAAATTCTTTCACACAGGTTGAGGTCGATGGTGTCGAGAATGTTGCTGAAGAGCATGAAACTAGAATCACTCCACTTATTCCGCTATCTAATTCAAAGTCAAATGATGAAATTTTACGCCAAAATATAGAGAGAGTAGCAGCAATTTGTATGAATTCTGAAGGTCCCATACTTAAAAGTATCAAAGATCATATTATTATTTGCGATCAAAGTAAAGAGTTCCCGGAAAATTTAGACATTTTTATTTCCGTTTTGCGAGAAAAAAATTCATTATGTCGTAATACACCAGTGGTTATTCTATGTAATAGTAAGCCTAATGAATCAGATAAACATACTTTAGAAAAATACGGCCAAGTTTATTTTGTTCAAGGATCACCACTTCGTAGAAAAGATCTTTATCGAGCTAGAGTTATTTACGCAAAAAAATGTGTTATTTTGAGTGATGCAACACGGTGTGAAGAAAAGTAAGTTTATACCCTTACCTGAAATAATCTATCTTTCTGACGAAATCGTGGTTATTTAATTATTTTATTCTTTAAATATATTAAATATATCAAGATTATATGGAACTGCAGATGCTGCGTCGATTATGATTGCATTAAATATCGAATCTTTGTCTAACGATTGTTATGTTCTTGTCGAATGTTTATATCGCGAAACCTTTAAAATGATTGGTGAAAGTGATTCCGTCAAGAACCAGGAAGAAGAATTTAGTAAGCAATTTAAGCAAACGTAATTATAATTATAATATTTTATAAACATTAATATATATTTTATTTTTTTAAAAATAAAAAATTTAGTCCAAGCACTTATGCGACCTTCGTTTATGGCAGGAAATGTTTTCACGCCATGTAATTTGGATACGATACTTTGTCAATGGTAAATATATTTCGACTCAATATAATTGATTTGATCTGATTTGATTTAATTTAATTTTGACATAGGTAACGTTTATCTTCTTTTTTTTATAGCTTCTACAATCGCCACATCCCTGTTATAATGAAATGTCTAATTTTCAGTCACGATTCGGATGACGATATGATGTCACCAAAGATCGAACGACAACAACATAATGAGTGGCGCGACTTAGGAATTGCTTCGGGACACATTTTTTATGCTGATGTTCCTCCACTTTATATAGGTAAGCTATTACTATTATCATTATTTTTTTAAAAAAAAAAAAAAGTATTAAATATAAATGCAAAATTGATTATTTATTTGGCTTTTTTTTTTTTAAAAAAAAAAAATTTGGAACAGGTCAGAAATATAATGCTTTATATTGTCATTTAATCCGAGCCCATAAAGCAGTCCCATTAGGACTTTATCGTACTGTGACTCACAAAGGTGGACCGCATCAATATATTTTTGTAAATCCAAAAAGGGATACAATTATTAAGGAGAATGATAAAATTTATCTTATCGCATCGAAACTCCCGAGTTTTTTTTAATGAAACTATTATTATAGAAGAATGATGAAATCCACTACTCCATTTTTTACATTGTATAAGCTAATTAATTTTTAATAAAAATTTATATTTTTAAAATTTTTTATTGATTGACATAATCTATAAGAAATCATATCTTTTAATTTGCTACAATTATGTGAAAGGGTTTAAACTTTTGGTTACAATTGGATTTCATTGAGGTCAGTGGAAAATTCCAGAAGGTGCACAGGCCAAGGCTGAAGCATTATATAGAGTGTTTGGGTTAAAATAAATATCTGTGAGCAATTTCTCTTCAAAGTTTTTTGCTACACCTGAAGCTCAGGTCATGACTTAATGTTCTGAATTGTCAAATTAAATGTGATTTTGTCATCATGATAATTACTAACGATTAAATGTTTAGTGTTTTTACTGTTATTTGAAAGACGTAGATAATGGGAGAATATAGTACAAAAAGCATTAATTTATGAATGAAAACTTCTTCGATTAAAGCCACCGCCTCGACCTCCTCTAGGTGCTCCACGACCACCTCCACGACCACGACCACCTCCACGTTCACCTCCATATCCGCGTCCTCCTCCACGTTCACCTCCATATCCGCGTCCTCCTCCACGTCCGCCTCTTTGATTTCCTCCCCTCATATTCACTGTAAATATATATGTAATTTTATTTTTTAAAAAAGATTGATGACATTATAATCAAAAATAATGTTATTACTCACCGCCTCCACGTCCTGCAAATTTCTTCTTTGTAGCTATAATAAAATTCACCCTTTGTTAAGATTACTTTAAATTATAAAAATCATTATTTATCATCTTACCAGTTTTCGGAGCAGGTGGCTTAGGCAAAAATCTATCTAATGGCAACAGCTTATCTTCACCAATATATACTTTATCGTTTAGTTTAAAAGATGTTGCAACTATGCCTTCCTGTAATTTGACTGTAAAATATACTTCATTCATTGGTCCAAGGATCTCATCAACTTTTCCTATTTGATTCTTATTCTCTAAATAAATTGGAGCATTAAAATATGGAATTTTGGAATTGACTGATTTGCATACCATATCACCCTCGCATGCATGAAGAAATAAACCCATTTCTAACAAAAAAAAAATGATACAAACGTTAGAATAGCTTAAATTACTTGAGAAATTTAATGATATTGCTCACCAGAAATTTTATCTGAAGGTACACGTTGCGACCCAAATTTTGAAAAGTTGGAACGTCCAGCTGCATTTCAAAAAAAAAAAAAAAAAAAAAAAAAAAAATATGAAAGCTCCCAATTATATTAAGATATAAATAAAAAAATAAAATGAAAAATTTGAATACAAACGTTTATCTCTAAAAGCATTCCCAGGTCGAGCAACAGCAAAACGATCTCGACCTCCTCTCATTATTCTATTCAATAATACGTAAAGAGTAAAGATATTAAAGAGTATAGATATCGAAGAAGTTTGTTTCAAAATCTATAAATTAAAACTCACGTGATATTTTCAATAGGCCACAAATCTTTTCTTAGTAAATAATTTTGGAAATGATCCGCGTAATTTCAGAACGTGCGTACCTTAAAAAACGCGTTACTTCAACTTCAATGTCTGACTCAACAAATTCGAAGTTTAAGCAAGAACTAGATTTTTTTATCACGAAAAGGCCCACACAATAGAATTTTTCAAAAGGTTCAACTGTACATCGAAGAACAAAGCCATCTCGAAATGGTGTTCCACGCTCCACGCGAGCCTTGCAGTTCGTAATGACGATCCAAAGCTCATGCCCTATTTGTGATGGAAAACATGGGAATTATGGATTACATGGCGAATGGTATAAAAATGGAACGGAATTTTGTCTTAGCTGTAACTCTTCAAGCAATAAATTCAAGTTCGCGATTGTGGCTTAGACCGGTCATGTGAAATCGATCACCTGAAATGCGCAGTGCGATATCAGGAAAACGCTATTCGCTCCGTTCATAGCTCGGTTAAAATTATCAGATTTTTTGCGATCAAAGGGGTAGGGCTGTGCGACATAAGATTTTAGCACTTTTTTTTTGTCATCAGGACTAATACCTAGTTTCAATTCAAAGGATCTCGTTACCTAATCGAATGCAAACAAATGAAACGGACTATTAGGTTAGGGTGATGGTACAATGAACATAGCGAGTATCAGGAGGTGGATAGAATAGACGCAATAAGACTTTATCAATGTATTATTGTATCAAGCGAAGCTGTATCACGGTCTAAGATCCGATTTGTACTTTTTATTTACAATCAATAAAAAAAAGGTGCATTAAGCACAATATATTTACATGATAATATTCCGCATAGTATGGTTGTGGGGATTGAAGGATCGTATTTGCATCCCAATAAATGCGCAATATAATATTCGGGAAAATTATTGCTGAGATGATTGCTGTGTGACGTAAGAAAAATCAACCGTAACATCTTGTAGATGCGTAATATTCTCGAACTTTCCCGCAGATACTCATGTAATAATAATAATAATAAAAAACCCCCTTTGTTGATCCAAGGGGCACAATCCATATGGTTAGCGATCAAGGATTCATTATGTCTTTGAGAAATCCGTTGATCTGATTTTCCGTGATGCCATCATAATTCCCTGAAGATTTATTCCAAATTCTATTCTTGGACTGCTACAAATCATATAAAAAGAAGGCAAGACAGTTAGTGAACCCTTTTATCTGCCTTGAGAGAAAAATCAAGTGAACTAATAAAACTTACCAATATTTACATCGTTAATATCCTTGATCAAAGCAAACAAGTAAATAATAACAAGGTAATTTTGCTTATTATTCAGCTAGCTTCTTGAAATATGTCAACGCGATCTTAACCGATTTCCTGCCTCTATAGATGTTCCAAAATAAAACGGACATACTACTTTTCTTATTATATATCAGCATTTTAATCTTCACCGAGAATCACTGACCATCATATGAATCTCGTCACATGCAACGGCACAGCAAAATCTGACGCAGTATATCTTCTGACATAACATCTTCACGTGCTGAATTCTTGATAGAAAATAATAAAATAAAAGGAAACAAAGGAAATAAAAGAAAGAAGGAAAGAAATGCACCTTTTCCTTTATGTTTTTTCTATTATGTGTTCATAAAAAAAAATCGAAGGTTCATTCCGGCGATAACGCATAAAAAATTAAGCAATCAATTCCTCGTATATGCGGTGGAATGGAATATTGTGAAAATGAATTATATCAGTAAGTGTGAATTGGAAGAATTATTTTTTTACTTCAGTTGCAAACCTCCCGAATTTACGCTGTAGATTCGAAAATTTTCTATCTCGGTAAAGTTCTCTTGCCTTAAATAGTCTGTGCGGGTGTAGTGATATAGATGCATAAAAATTCTGTAGATATTGATGGGTTAGAAATATAGTATAGAAAAAGAGTGCGGGGTGAGTTAGTAGCGATAAAACAAATTAGCTGTATTTTTCGAAAGTGTTAGAGTGCAAAGAAATAACTTGATGCTGGGACTCGCATTAAATGGCCTAGGATCTTCCCTCTTTGATAGCATCATATATTTACGCTTTATATAATAAAGTTTTGACTTAACGTTCATGATAAATAAAAATGTGATTACCGGTAATTTGTAAAAAATTTTCTACGTAATAATGAATATAAAAGAAGTATGGTTAGCCAACTGTATACTGGAAAACAGCATGCAGGGGGAAGGCCTTGAGCACGTATGACTCAAGGACATCATGCCTGGAGACTGTTTCCATACATCTAACGCAGGACGAAATGGCCGTACGCCAGTAGGTATACACAAAGTATTCTGGATACTAGCATGCAGGGGGAAGGCCTTGAGCACGCATGACTCAAGGACATCATGCCTGGAGACTAACACCAAACATCTAACGCAGGACGTAATGGCCATACGCCGGTAGGAATACACAACACATCCTGGATACTAGCATGCAGGGGAAGGCCTTGAGCACGCATGACTCAAGGACATCATGCCTGGAGACTAGCACCAAACATCTAACGCAGGACGTAATGGCCATACGCTAGTAGGGACGCGCTTGGCTTGTCGAAAACTTGATATGCCTGAAGCGAGACTATAATTATAAAATTACTTCAGCCAATCAGAATTTCAACATTTTAGCCAATCAATAAAAGTTTCTCTTTCGATCACGGGTAGATCTGTAGATCTGCAGAATGCATATCTGATATATGGGAGCTTTGCAGTAAAAAGGAAGAAAACTCTAAAAAAATTTTTTTTTGAATTAATGTTAGATCTAAACTTATTTTACTAAAATAATCATAATTAGCTTAAAAAATAAATTTTTAATTTTTTTAGAGTTTCCTCCTTTCTACTATAAAGCTCCTATATAATCAATTAATATTATGTATGTCATGTCTTACGACTTTCAAGATGTTCGAATTGATGGTTAATAAGTATCTTCAACAAATGGTATATAAGGATTGGTCAATTGTTTCTTTACTACTATATATCAAATCAAAATCTGTATTATTTGCTAATATGATCAAAACCCTAAAAACAGAAATATATTCGGTCTTACAAAGTTTCAGTGATTCTAATAGCATCAATCTTCATGAGAATGCAAATAAAAGAGTGTGAAAACTTTTATCAGAATTTAATAAAGCATTCTTCTTAACTGTCATGAAAAATTTATTGAAGAATTAAAATTAAAAAATGAAAGAAGTGAATTTTTTACAATATTATCTTGTACATTGCAATGATCTTATGAATATTCTGTTAGGAACAATGTATGACAAAAATATTAATTGAAAATATATGCAACAAAGATGTGAAAGGATCTACCTTTACTATAGATGATTATACAAAACGGTAGTCTGATGAGTCTCATACTTCAAATAATGATGAAATATTAGCGAAAAGAACAAGAGTAGAAATTAAAAGTCAAAATACAACTATTTATGGTAAGAATTTTATTATTAATCAATTTGGATAATATGAAACAGATATGTACTTAAAAATTATATCTTCCATCAGATAACAATGAAATATCACTACTAGTTAATATTAAAACATTAATTTTGCCAAAGTCTTCTCCTATCAAATCTAAAGAAATTAAATAGAGACACAGAGAATCTTATTAAATTCTTAAAAAATAAGTTTTACATTTAAATAAAAAACATTTTGAAATATTATACAATCGAAAAATTACTGGTTGTGATTTTGTCAAAATAAACAAAGAAATTTTCAAGGAATGTGATTGTGAAACAGGTTTATCAATGAGACTTATGAATGTTATTAAAGAGTTTAATAACCAAAATAAGTATTATTATAGTTGGAGTACTATGTTATTATGATGTAGAAATATTATCCTTATTTTTACTTTCACAACTTATGAAGCCATTCTCTCAACTCTTATAAGTAAAATCTTCAGTAACTAATATCAAATCTGATCAGGAAGAACTCTATGAAGAATTCCTTAATGAATTTCATAAGGAACTTCATAAAGAATTCTGTAGTTTATTTAACAATAGAGGATAATGTCTTGCCTTCATATAATAAAGTACAAGAGTTAGTTGACTGAGCAGTCAATTCATCTTTAATAAAAATAGATAATCTTGAGCAAAAGACTAAAGTATTAGAAATTTTATCACAGGTTTGTAATAATCTTTTATGTAGATTATTTGTTATCATATAATGATGAAATTATAACAGATAAATAAATTATATTTGGTTGGCTATTGCTGAAGGTCAGAAAATGCTGATCTAGAAGAGCAATGTTTTTGGAATATTTATTCTTCTATATGTTGAGAATTTCTGCTTCCTCTTGACTGTGCATGATCAATTTAGCCAAATGATAAAGCTCATAGATTATTGGTATCTGATTGCATATGTGCAGAATTTAGTTGGTATATACAGTATTTAATAGCATATATTTAGTGACATATATTTATTCACATGAATTTTACCTACTGTAGATGGAAAATATGTATAGAAGAATCATAGTTTAAAAGCAATAAAGATACTAAATACCTTCTAAGAAGCATCTTTAGATTATATATAGGAAGAAATAGATCAGAATATCAGGATTATACATGAAGTCAAAATGGATCATTTTGGATATCTGAAATGATCGAAATAGTTGAAATCATTTGACCATTGGAGGCTAAAGTCACGAAATAGTTGAAATGATGTCATATCACATGATTTTTCATATTGAAAAAAACAATAAAAAACAAAAGATATACAATCTCGGTTAGTATCGCACCGATTCGTATGAAACAACTACCATTCGATTCGTCTAAACTAGGCGGATCCAATGAGCTAACATTCATTGATTTTGGATTATCCAATCACGAGATACTCACAATTGTATTATCAGCCGAAATTATTAATCCATAAATTTTACTTTAAATAAAGGAGTCCAGATTTCGAAATATGATCGCAAATATCTTAAGATGGGATGATCCAAAATCAAGAAAAAATCAAAAAAAAAACTCTTTCTCCCAAACGTCTAGTCCATTAAAAAAGATCAACACAAAAAATAAAAATTATGCCAGTTACTAGAGTGACTTCTTCCAAACTACAAATGAAAAATACTTGCCAACGAAATAAAAGAAATATCCCAGTTGACAATTCCAACACTTCAAACTCCTCTTCAAAAATAACCGAAACAAAAAAAAATAATATTTCCCAAAAAAAACAAAAAACTGCTTCACCTTCAAACGACAATGACATCAATCCAGAAATTGAAAAAATTATCATGAACGTTATGTCAAAATCTAACGAAGAAACTTTATTAGAACAAAATACTGATGACAACAACACTTCTGTTAACGACGTGCCCTTGGAAATGGATATTGACAATACTTCCACCAGCACTCCTCTCCAACC